GGTCTCAAAGTGGGTGTAGAAGGTGTTGAGGTCATCCGGCAGGCTGTCTGCGGAGCTGATGATGCTGGTGGTGGTCCTGTAGTCTGTGATGTGCTACAGGCCTTGCCACATCCGTCTGGAGTCAACAGTAATATAGAAGCCATTCAGCTTCTCTCTGTGCTGCCTCTTGGCCGCTGTGATGGCTTTTCTCAGTCTGTACTTCGCAGCTTTGTACTCCGTCTCATCACCTGATCTGAATGCATGAGAGTGAGCACGCAGCATTTCTGATTTCTGGGAACAATTAACATGATACTAGTCCAGAACTAATATGTTTATAATATACAAGTAAGGATGAAATGTAATAAAAAAATTGGATGAGATGGAAACAAAAATTCTACTGCATGACATTGTTTTGTTGTTAAACAAGACATACTGTATTACAGATATGAATAACATGTTTAAGTGTGTGAGTAGGCGTGAAAGCAGAGGATTTTAACTTTCATCTTTCATTTCACAAAGTTGTTCTCACCTCATTTTGTGTGTTTCAGCTGCCGTCTCTATACAGCAGCCCTGAAGCAGAGCCTCGGTACGTGGCACCAGAGGCAGGGCCTCTGGAACAGTGTGTCACATCCTGGAGGAAATCAGCAGAGCTGTACACACACCAGTGTCAGGTAGTTCACGGCTGTTCTGCAGGTGCATGCACTGACATACAAGTGTCATTGTATGATCCAAATGAAAGAGAAAATGCCAAGATAAAATATACGATAGAATGTAAAATGCAGTATAACTAAATTAACTTAGATTTGATTTGTTTTTTTAATAGGAAGTTGCTCAGCATTCACTGGAGAAGGTTGAGGTGAGTGGTCTGTAAAAACTCTGTTGAGATTTTACTTTATTTTACCTGTTGCTGAAGTTTGGTTGACATATCCGGTTGTTTGAGAAGACTTTGAGCTGACAGATGCAGGCCGATGACCGATTTCTTCACTGTGAAAGTCGCCATAGAAACGTGTCCAAACCAGCAGGATGCATGAATGTTTTTAAAAAGTTATTTTACTGCACGTTTCTAGTCACTGTACGTGGCTGCACATCTGGGACAAAGGTCGTTATCAAATGAAAGTAACCCGCTTTTCTTCTCTGTCTGACTGCTGATGATCTTTGGGCCACAGCGAGTTTACAGGACCGTGGAGCCCACAATCAACACTTCTGTAACAACTGTCATGGGTGAGAAAACACATTTGTGAAGTCTACTCAACTTGCAATGTGTTGTTGTAAGGATCATCTTTAAAATCTCTGTCTGCGCGACTGGTAAAATATCAGTGTGGTGTGTTACTAAAGGTTGTGTTTCTCTGAGCAATGCAAGATTTTATACACAAAGAAAGCTGTGTGCACATGCCGACCTGTATTTAAGCAAACTACTAGATCTGGACACCTGTTCTCTAAGTGTTGTGGTATATTTCTTGTTTCCTCAGTTGGTGTCAGGAGGGTGATGGTGATTTTTGTACCTTGTATTGTAGGCTGTTAGTTTGTTGAAGACCTGGTAGGGTTCAAATTGTTGTCCAGTAAGCTTTTAAGTGCTGTATACATCCCTCCTTTTCCCCTCCAATGATACTGCACTGCAGTATCATTGGAGGGAAATCAGCAGAGCTGTACACAATCTAAAAAAAAAATCTCAAAATGTGATGTAGAAATTAAATTGTTTTTTATTTGCGTCCAGTTAAAGCCACAGACAGGTCTTGGCAGCCAGTGCTCACTCTGTCTTCCTCATTCCTTCTGTCAGGTGTGTACCAGTTCCTCAGGGAGCCTCCGTCAGATCTCTACCCCAGTGTGGCAGTGGTGGGTTTCTCTGGCTTCCTGGGACTTTACTTGGCCAAAGGTAAACTGTGCAAAACTGTACTCACCCAAACACTCAGTGACTCACCTGCAGAGACTAATCAGTTCAGAAGTAGTGACTGTGACTCACGGAGAGTTTAACATCTTTGGTGCATGGTTGCTGCAGTTTGGGTCAAAATTCATAATGATCCTCAGAGTTGTAACTCACATGTGAACATGAAGATATGACGCATGCAGTGGAACCTTTGATTCCTTCTGTCAACATGCTCGTAATCCAAAGCACTCGTATATCAAAGTGAATTTCCCCACAAGAAATCATGGAAACTCGGATTATTCGTTCCACACCCACTTATCCATATAAAAATGATTACAGTAATACAAAATACAGTATAAAGTAAAAATAAAACAAATTAACCTGCACTCTACCTTTGAAAAGAATCGTGGCTGGTGTGAGGGGCCATCGTTGCAGTACAGATAATGACTATACGAGTGAAGCGAGAGAACCATCGGCTCAGTTGCGATGTACGTCACGTGACGCTTGGCGGACAAAGTGTATGTACTACTCGTATTGTGAGACCTTGCTCGTATATTGAATCATAATTTTTTGCTCATCTTGCAAAACACTCGCAAGCTGGGTTACTCTCAATCCAAGGTTCCACTGTATTTTAAATTTCAGTGTGACCCTCCCAGAGGATGTCATTATGTGTGATATCAAATAAACATTCATAAATCTGCTTAAACACTGTGCAAAAGTGTTGATTGTGTAGAGCTGATGAATCAAACTCCAAACAGACAAACCTCAGGGAGCTGTTCCCCTTTGCTTCCTGAAATTTAATTAAGTGGGTAAAGCAGAAGTAAAGAGCATCAGAACAGAAGGTCACGTTTAGTTGTGACAGCAGCTCCTCTCTGTGTGTGTGTGTGTGTGTGTGTGTGTCAGGCTCCAGGATGAACCGACTCCTGTTTCCAGCTGGACTCATGGCTCTGAGTGCCTCCATGTTTTACCCTCAGCAGGCTGCATCCTTATTAAAGGTATGTGTGAACATTTGCTTCACAAATAACTCAGACCCTCAGAATGTAGATGCTGCACATTTTATTTCATTTGTATTTAAATTGATAAATTACCATTTTGTACAACAGCTTACACACAACAATAAGGACTTTTAGGACTTTCTTGCTAAATTATTAAAAATCAAAAACTCATATCTCTGATTTACAAAACCATTCAGACTTCAGCAGTGTCCCTCCAGACCGTGTTCAGGTGTGTCCTGTTGGCTGACTGGAGTCCACGTCTCATGGCCACCTGTCCACATCCAGGCTCTCTAATGCTCATATAGTTGACAAGTTTGACGTCAGCAGAAACCTTTCTCCCAGGACTGAGATTCACTGAGGAAACAGATGTGAAAGCAGGAACAGTAACATACATATAATTTATCACTGATTTTATTTTTAGATACGACAGATTTTGGGTGGGTACAGTAGATCTTTTCTGGACATTGCTGAGACACAGTTTATTCTGGGACTTTTTTTTTTTAACAGGAAACCACTGAGGAAAATCACACCCTCACCTTATAAACCTTCCTCCCCAGTTCTGATGAGCATTATGTAGATAAAAACTTTCCAGGCAGGTCTCAAACAGTAGCTGGTGTTGTATCACTGTTTAATTTGTTCCTCTTGGGAGAAAGTGGTACTTTCCTGCCTGTGAATGTTTGTGTTACTATGGTCCCCCAAAAGAACCAGCAGATGTGGACATGAGCTGCAGGAAGAGGCGGCGTGCACAGAGTGAGTGGGACAAAGAAAGGGCAGCAACCAGGATTAATATAGGTTTGGCCGTTTCACATGGAGAGGGTTAAAAGCAGCCAGAGGACTCGAACTGGATTCAGATGTGGCGTTCTTTCTCCTGTCTTGCCACATGTGTATAGTTTGTCTTCAAAATTAAGACAAAGCCCTTGGCTTCATTTTGCAGCTTCTCTCAAGGTTTTCTGTGAAGTTGTTAGGAGTGGCCTTTCACACCTTAGGCTGTTACCAGAACCTGAAAGTTGCTCTGAATGAGAAGCGCCTTCTAGGCTGTTTTTGTTTTATACAGATTTGCAAAGACACTTCTGTTGTCAGTAACGGTCCATTCACTTTGTTTATAGTAATTACTCTAATGTCTGTAGTGAGTCACTGAAGTGAAATGATGTGTCCAACAGAAACACCACAAGATACAGTATTGTTCAAAATAATAGCAGTACAATGTGACTAACCAGAATAATCCAGGTTTTTAGTATATTTTTTATTGCTACATGGCAAACAAGTTACCAGTAGGTGCAGTAGATTCTCAGAAAGCAAACAAGACCCAGCATTCATGATATGCACGCTCTTAAGGCTGTGCAACTGGGCAATTAGTTGAAAGGGGTGTGTTCAAAAAAATAGCAGTGTCTGCCGTTGACTGTACAAACACAAAACTATGTTGTACAAACGTTTTTGTTTCTAGGATTTAGCAATCCTGTGAATCACTAAACTAATATTTAGTTGTATGACCACAGTTTTTTATAACTGCTTCACATCTGTGTGGCATGGAGTCAACCAACTTGTGGCACCTTTCAGCTGTTATTACACTCCATGATTCTTTAACAACATTCCACAATTCATTTACATTTCTTGGTTTTGCTTCAGAAACAGCATTTTTGATATCACCCCACAAGTTCTCGATTGGATTAAGGTCCGGGGATTGGGCTGGCCACTCCATAACATTAATTTTGTTGGTTTGGAACCAACACTTTGCTCGTTTACTAGTGTGTTTGGGGTCATTGTCTTGTTGAAACAACCATTTCAAGGGCATGTCCTCTTCAGCATAAGGCAACATGACCTCTTCAAGTATTTTGACATATGCAAACTGATCCATGATCCCTGGTATGCGATAAATAGGCCCAACACCATAGTAGGAGAAACATGCCCATATCATGATGCTTGCACCACCATGCTTCACTGTCTTCACTGTGTACTGTGGCTTGAATTCAGAGTTTGGGGGTCATCTCACAAACTGTCTGTGGCCCTTGGACCCAAAAAGAACAATTTTACTCTCATCAGTCCACAAAATGTTCCTCCATTTCTCTTTAGGCCAGTTGATGTGTTCTTTGGCAAATTGTAACCTCTTCTGCACATGCCTTTTTTTTGGAGTGGCCAGCCCAATCCCCGGACCTTAATCCAATCGAGAACTTGTGGGGTGATATCAAAAATGCTGTTTCTGAAGCAAAACCAAGAAATGTAAATGAATTGTGGAATGTTGTTAAAGAATCATGGAGTGGAATAACAGCTGAAAGGTGCCACAAGTTGGTTGACTCCATGCCACACAGATGTGAAGCAGTTATAAAAAACTGTGGTCATACAACTAAATATTAGTTTAGTGATTCACAGGATTGCTAAATCCTAGAAACAAAAACGTTTGTACAACATAGTTTTGTGTTTGTACAGTCAACGGCAGACACTGCTATTTTTTTGAACACACCCCTTTCAACTAATTGCCCAATTGCACAGCCTTAAGAGTGTGCATATCATGAATGCTGGGTCTTGTTTGCTTTCTGAGAATCTACTGCACCTACTGGTAACTTGTTTGCCATGTAGCAATAAAAAATATACTAAAAACCTGGATTATTCTGGTTAGTCACATTGTACTGCTATTATTTTGAACAATACTGTACATGGCCACTCTTTGTTTTAGCCCATAAATGTCCCAGGGTAAATGTTGGCTACACATTTGTTGGACACTAAATGTGAAATGACCAAGGTTTGTGGCTACAATGCACAGAATCCACATATGATTTTCCCCCTAAAGTCATCATGGTTCCTTACAGACATTAAAATAATACTTGCATACTAATTGTAAAAGTACCTCTTTGCCCATGTGGCAAATATTTGAATACTACAATTGAAAAGCAGTTACCTACCTAACAAGTGAATATCTGAATGGTCAGCTGTCCGAGTCCAGCTCTAGTAAATATTGTTCATGTTAAATTCCTGACATGAGGTGTCTTTTACCTCAGTAAAAAATCCATTCACTATATGCCCAAGGAATGTTTCAGGTTCCCACATCACTTGCTCATGAGTGCACATCTTGGACTGACATTTGATGTTTGATCAGAGAAACCTCCCCCCTCAGCAGGTGGAAACAAACTGTACATAAATCACTATATGATGTATGGCAAGCAGCAGAGAGCACATTCTCACAGATCCCAGTCAGTTCAGTGTCATCTTTCAGCAGTGACCTCTGGTTTGTTCCCTGAGCTGACAGTGATTTCTACATTTCTGGTGTTTCGCTCCACCAGGTGAGTCGAGACTCAGCGTATACCTGGGCGCAGCAGGGCCGCAGCACCTTAGAGACTCTGTGGAAAGATCCACCATTTGGCAGGAAGAAGGTGAGTCTTCACTGTCAGTCACCTGCTCTGGTTAACTGTTGGCTTCCATCCTCGTGATTCACCGACTGGCAGCTCTGACGTTTGTGTCTTGTCTTTTTTGCGAAGTCTGAGAAGAAAGAGCAAACAGAGAGCAGCAACACAACCAGCTGAGATGACAAGAAGACACACACCTCTCCATCCTCCGAGATTTTCACGTCACAGTAACACACACCTGTGCGACTGCCATACATGTGCTCTTTAAATATTTTACACACAACTGAGCACAGATCAGGACTTTGACCACTTTTACCTCCACCCTGGTCATTTCTGAACACTTGTACCTGCTTCTAAGAATCAGGTTGAATCTGTTTTCTGCTTCTTTTCTGTGACCTGTCTAAACATCCATCATACTTGCAGCCAGCTCTTCCTCATTGTTTTGGTATTAGTTTCACAGACTGGTGCAGAGAGACGCTCAGAAACAAAACATCAATAAGAGAGAGAGTTGAAATAGTAGAGAAACGGATAAACGGACTGATAGAAAATTCATCAACCACTATTTTCATGCAGCTTCAAAATGTCAGCCATTTATGAGCTAAGACAAACTGGCCATTTTCAGACTGTTCACTTGTTTTGTTTCATAAAATCCCATGAAAAGCCTAAACAACACCACGTGTCCTACTAACAAGTCATGCCTGTTTACTGGGAACCTGACATGTCTCATTTGTGTGCCACACTGTTACAGAAATATGGGCACTGTCTATCTATGAACAGCTTCACAGACTGATAACGGTGGTGACTGAGCGAACAGCTCCACAGACTGATAACGGTGGTGACTGAGCATGCTCACACACAGGCTTCTGATTATGTGGCTTCGCTTGCTTGTTGCGTTACATGTCACAGTCTTTTGACATTAGACTGAAGTTCTTGGAGGAATTAATAATATCTTGGTTGTGAGTTTGATCAATGTGACAAGCAGTTGTCAGTTTATTAGGTACACCAAGCTAAAACTAAGTCACTGTAATCCAACTGTCCTGAAGTAAATCCACCTCCATGAAGGTGATCCTGTTCAGTTTGTGTTCATACTGTTTGAGATGTGTTGATTCAACTGTGTGACCATTGGTGGGTGCAGCTGCAGCCAGCTTAGCAACATCAGCAGAGGCTGAATGTAGATGGTGCTCAGTCTGCCTTGCGGACACTGTGAAAGGCAGTTTTAGTCTGTGGAGCTGTTTTATAAATCAACACAGTCTCAATTAGTAGATGAAAACCTTGAGTTTAACAGAAAAATTCAACAGTTCACTGTGTTGTAATACTGGTAAGTGGACAGATCTCTGACTCTGCCCTATGATTGTGCTCCTGAGTTCCATTTTCTCTTGCTCTGGGTGTGGAGGAGCGACTGCAGAAATACCAGAATTTCAATCAAATGATGATTTTAAGAACGACATATTCACCAGGCCAGTGTTTAGTGTTTATTTTACCAGATGTATTCAGGGGCAGCACACTGCGATACTGTTTGTCTATGACTATTGATGCACTATGTACAAATATGTTGCTATATAATTAAATCTAATGTCTGACTGAGCTGATGCTTTTCCTTATGAATTTTTGAATTTATTTTCTAATTATCAGTAATTTGTGAAAATACCAAAAAATGCCAGATTGAACATCTGTGACCCCCAGCACAGAGTATGAAGGCTGCTGGACACTGTTCGTCTTGACTGCAGCTTTGTCTCTGCCACCTGCTGTCGTTCACTTTCAGGGTGAGCTGGAGACTAATTCATCTCACAGGAGCATCGAGTTAAATCTCTGAAAAAAGGATTTTGTTTCAAAGCAGGTTTCAAACCTTTACAAGTCACAGATTTGTAACTGAAAAATGGGAAGAAGTGATTTCAGACCTTTCAGATCTTATGTTCAAAAAGTTTTAAACTTTTTTTTGATTTAAAACCACAGATTACACTGTCAAATTTGATTTTAGGTTTAATGCCATGCAATGTGACCCCAGTTTCAAATTGGTCATTTTATTGATTGTTTTACTTGTGCAACATTGTCAGGGCCGTACTTTTTACTTCTAACGTTTTTACTTGCAACACATTTACAGTTAATACATTTTCATCTTGAGTCCAGTAATCATATAAGCCATTTATATTAAAAAGGAGTATTTTTATGTTTAAGTGTTGGTTTAAGTATAAAATGGTTTTCAATGTTTTTACCTTCGCCATAAAAACAGGCCATGTGACAGAATGCTGCACATGACCATTCCTCTGCCTCCCCATTGGATGAGAGGGGGCCAAAGGGTGTCACAGTGGAACTGACCAACCGCGTTGCAGCGTGTGCCTGGTATAAAGGCCCGGATGTAAACAAAGGACCGTGCACTTGAACGGTAGCGTTTACTGGATATCTTGTCGAGACAAACACGTCCTGACCAGAGGCTGACTGTGGAGAAAAAGCCACTCTGGAGCGAATGAAGAGACATCCGATCTTTCACTTCATATACAGAGGACTGCAAACGAAAGGGAAAAAGAGTAAAATAAGAAAATGGAGTACAAATTACGAAAAGCTGAACCCAGAGATGTGTCTGACATCTTACGACTGGTGAAGGTAAATTAGGACCAGACTCTGGGTCAAAAACCACGTCACCAAATTACGTAGAGGAATCTGCTGTTTACCATGTTTATGTCGGAGTATCACAGCAGTGTAGCTGTAGCTGAAGCCCAGTGCTGTGTCCACTGGTCATTAAAGGCTATAAACTGTTGCGTTAACCAGTTCTTGCTACCATGCTAACTCTGAGGGGTACACGCCATGCTTAGTGTTTACATAGATGGGTTGAACCGCCATGTGGTGGCGATGTTCTCTTGATGTGGCCGATCGCTGGGTGTGCGCGTGTGTAGAGAGAGGGGAGATACGCGTATGTTGTAGGACTATGGTTCTTGTTACCATACTGACTCTGAGAGACGAGACAGTCCAAGTAACTTCAAAACAGTGCTGATTTATTCAAAGGATCACAGGTAAAATTAACATTACACGCTCAGGTATCTTGCACCTCCAAACTGC